CACAGTTGAAGTAAAAAATGAATTTTTTTGTACAGGAATTTGTGGAAAACACTGTTTTGGTAGGGAAGTTACCAAAAAAAGGAAGCTGCAAAAAATATATCCCTGAGTAATCTTTTTCCATCTGTTTCCTACATCCTCAGGGAGCTTTGAACATCAACGAGCGGACAATCCCTCAGCCCAGACTGCTGCAGCTGTCTGTGGAGAAACTCAGCAGGGAGGGAGCTTTCCTCATGGATGCTGGAACGGTACAAAGCTTTCAGCCCTGCTTTTAGCACTCATAACAAGCTAACAGAAATACAAAGCTGATGTCTCAAACTTGGCTGAATCCTGAGGAAATATCTAACTTGAGATTGCACTCAGGGTCTGTCTCATTTAATGATTCACTACATTTTCCCTAAGTATTTTTATCAACAGCCCCAAAAATGCTTTTGATATAGCTTCTCTCTGTAGATGTGGGTTATAGTATGATGGGCAATGGCTTTAATAATCAACCTCTCTGCAACATGTTGCATAATTTGCCCAGTTATTCAGTATGGCTTTTAATTAAAACATCCTCACGAGCTTTGGTTTTTATCTCTTATATTTCGAGCCCCGAGTAATGAGGTATGCAACTGTTTTATTAATTTGTGAGTGTATTTATTGTAAACCTTATACTGTTCCAAAAGGTTATGTACCTGTGGATCGGACGGAACTGCCACCCCAACTTCCTCACACAAGTCCTAGGAGTTCCCAGCTATGCTGCTGTGCCTGATAACCTGGTAGGAAACCTAATGTTGCATCAGCCGTACCTATAAAACACTGTTTCCACCTGCTATCACTGTTCACTCCTTAACTTTGCCTCAAAACTGGCAAAATGGTCACATTTGCCCATCCAGTACAGCTACAGTTTGACTAAATGCATCCTCCCCCCTCGATGATGAAAACTTGACTGTCCCTCTCCTCACAGTATCTGCTCCCAGAGCTGGACACTGCCGAGTCCCAGAGAACCAGAGCTTTTATTGGTTGGCTGAGGGATCAGAGACCGTTCTTTCCATCCCTGCATGTCGTCAGGTGGGCAACAGACAACATCCTGTATAAGAGAGTAAAGAATCAAGGAGCGAGAGTGTGCGCTTGAATTCCCATTGTCAGCACTTTGAAATGAATGAGCAACTAAAACTGACATCTTTTGACTCGTTTTGTTTTTTCCCTCTCTCTCATTTGAATCTAAGGGACGAGAGCCAGCTGAAAGCCACTTTTATGCAGAACATGATCGAGGACCGAACAGAGTCGGCCCTGTCATACTACGAGTTCCTGCTTCACCTCCAACAGCAAATTTCCAAATAATCTCCAGTGGGACTGGTGGCAATGTGAGGATGTGCATCAGCGTATGTGTGTGTATCTGTATGTATAGTGTGTGTGTGTGTGTGTGTGTGTCTGAAAGCAGTGGGAGGCAGACTGAAGGAATGGCTCATGCTGCATCTCCAGGTGTGGTTCACCATCTCTCTGAGGAAAAGCTTCTGAACTGAACTGGTGCGAAGCGTCACTTAAATCAAACTCGGTGACAGACAGTGTGAGAACGGATAGTGACAAAGAATCAATTGTTATGCTTATTTAGCACTTTTTACCCAGCTGAAGCAGTGTGTTGGAAGGAAAAAAAAAATAACGATAATGTATGTAAATGATTGGATGAATCAGTGTTTATTCTCATAGAACAATGTTATCTTACTGAGGTATCGTTCAGATACAGTCCAGGCAAATGGATGTGTGAAGTGTTTTTGTTCAAAAAGCACAGTTGTCTTTACTAAAACAAGTCAAACATATGTGATTGTGTATGCTTACGGATAGGCTTATGAGGATATTTAGTATGTTTGCGCTCAAAGACTGTTATTGGGTGTCACCAGGAGTGTTTGCAACAACAACACCTGAGCTCTAGCAACACTCTTAATATCGTACCTGAAGGACAGAACGTGTGCTTTTTATTTGTCAGTCATTATAATTGTGTGTCGAACAAATCTGTTTAGGCTCTGTTGTAAAAGGCAGAATTGTTAAAGGTGTTTGAAGGGCGGCTCGACCTCGCCGTTGTCGCTGCCTTGAATACTTGGACTCTGCAGTGGAAAGTCGTTTTCCTGATCTGTCCTTCGGAAACTCATCTTTTTTGTGTCCGGACATTCAGAACAACTATGACGACATCACTGTTCTGTTTGTTTATTTCTTCTTTTATTTTCTTTCTGATAATCTAATAATTTATGAGACTCCCAATCTGATTAAATTCTATAATTGCCTTGTATGGGAACTCACTTTTTATTATTAAACCTCTGTTCAAATACAGACTCTATATATGAAATATTTTAATATAATAGGATATGGGAAATTTTAACACAGACATAACAAAGCCATTGTGATCTTTTAATCATGCTTATTGATACTTGTATATTGAAAAGAATGCATTATATAAAGGTGAAGAAATGCTGATGATTTTAGTATAAACATTAAGGTGAAATGACGCTAAGAGAATAAAATCTTTGGGACTTTTTAAATGTAGTTGTGTTTTGGCGGGTGTTTGTTCAGTGACGACAAACGCTACAAAACTGAATATGGACCAATATAGTCAATTTTTCTCTTGACTGAGCGTGAATTGAAGGTTTTTGATTTGGTCTGATTTCATACAGTTTGTAATCTAAATATAAACAAATGTATTTAGGGAGAGACAAATATGTTTTGGTCTTCATGCACAAAATTGTCTTTCATAAAAAAATATATATATGAAAATAAAAATAGCCTGTGTTTATTACCAGAGGTTTGTACAGATTAATCTGCAGTGGTGTGGACTCACGTCACATCACTTGGACATAAGTCTTTAATCAAATACCGGTAGACTTACAACTCAAACTAACCAATGATTTGTGACTTCACCAGTCCACAAGAGATGGAATGTATGGACTTCCTAAACAACTTGACTCCACTTGGACTATTTGATATCCTCCCTAATCCCCAAGATTAAAATGTTATTAAAACATTTGAAATTATTAAAATTGTGCAGGATATCAACTTCTTGTTTTCCTGACAAAAGATATGTTTTGAATCAATTCAGTCAAGGCGCGTTTGGCTGTGCCAACCAGCAGACAAAAAACAGATTATATTCCTCAGATTATACAAAACATCAGGTCAGAAATAACAAATTATAATTGTGACACAAATAACAGACCAAGGCTTATCTGATCATTTTGCTTGAGTTAATTTGAAATTAATACATATTTTAAAAGCATTCATTATCTCGGTAAATTAACTGTTGCTGCACAATAACTTGTTTAGGACTTGGACTTGACTTGAGACTTACTTTTCATTAGCAAAACAACTGCTTTGTCCCACCTCTGGTAAATTGTGAACCACAGCAGTTCCAGGTAGAGAAAAAAAAACCCCATAGATACAGTTTTTAACAATCAGTATTTTCCCAGCCCCATCAGCCACAACCATGTGCATATTTTGAAATTGTAGTTACTGCAAAACACAAAGTTAATTTTAAAGACCATGATAGTTTTACATTTTATCATTGTTTAACTGTACCTTTAAGTGACACACCTGGACCCTGGAAAATAAATATTAAATACATACGTTAAACATATTTGATCAAAATTGTTGCTATTTGTAACTGTTAAAGGCCAGTAACATATTTATTATGAATTCTGTTTTTATATCCAAAGGGCAGGATTATATAAAGTTGCGTCCTATCAAACTGGAACAATGTCAACTTTACTTTCAGGTGACCTTTAATAAACTGGCTGCATTGCTTTAATATAAATTCTACTTCTAGGTGAAGTGAATCCAAAGTAATGCTGTTGTTTTAATTCTAATTGTATACAATGCCTCTCATTTGCTTTAAAACAGAAACTTTAGTACAAAACAGAGCTGGATGTTCTTATAAATCTGATTGTTGAGGATAAGTCCCCGTCCCCACTGCTCTGCAGGGTAGTCTGAGCATTGGCAGTAACAGACGATATTTACTAACCTTATCAGGACACTGTTTGATTTTAAAGTTCTTTGCTGTTTAAACTTAAGTAGTTCAGGTATAATGAGTGTAATGTGTGGTGTGTTTTAATTCAGGCTTTGTCAGATCTAGATCAGGCATCTGTTTTCTACCTCAGCATGAATATATATATGATATTGTATGACTGGACCTGCCAAACTACTGGCACCAGACTTATTTTTTTTGTGCTGTAGGCTTAAAACCAGTTTCTGCAGTTTGACAGAAGAAAGCCATCACTGTGCTCTCTGCTGCATGAAATGACTGCAGTTTTTATGATTGTGTACATTTTCTATTAATCCGAACAGAACCACAGTGCTTATGGAAATGTAATTTCCTTAAAGTAGTAGTTTCTGACCCCGGGTGACATGACCCTCACAAGGGGTCGCAAGATGAATCTAAGGGGTCAAGAGATAATTACTGGGGCAGGAAAGCAAAATGCAAAACTCTACACAAAATGTGTGTTTTTCGGACTTTTCTCTAATCTTGTGTTTCAAAAGGATAAAATTAAAAGAACATTGTTTGAGTCCTTTTTTAAAGCAAGAAATGGCAAATGGCTGGTTCCAATTTCTCAAATGTATACTTTCTGGTTTGCTCAGTCTTCTGTAATAGTAAACTGAATATCTTTGGGTTTTGAGCTTTTGACATCTGATGGTGTCACCAAGGACTGTGGGAAACTGTGGTGGGCATTTCGCGCTGTTTTCTGACATTATACAAACCAAATGATTGATTGATTACTTCAGAAAGTAATCTGTAGATTAAACCAAAATGAAAATAATCATTAGTTGCAGCTCTAATTATGGCTACACGTTCTTCTTTTATGAATATAATTTTACATGTGGCAAATGCCATTTTTTTTAGGGTGGTCCCTCGCCAAGCCTAGACACCCAATATCAAATCACTAGGAGGGAACCCCTATTTTATTTTCACCCTTTTCCCCTGCAAGTCAGCGTTGAGGGCTCTATACCCGCACAGCTTCTTTGTCGCGCTCGGCGCTGACATCATCTTTGTGCGTCCCTTTCTTCAGACAACGCTCAGTCATGTTTACCGTTTAATTCAGTGATCCGAGGCTTTTTGTGTTGTCGCCATTAAGCTTTTCTATCGCTATTGTTTTGTATTTATTGTTAACAGACTTTGTAGTTAACGCTAATTTATTTCAACATGGAGTCCGAAGCGGCCAACGAGGAGAAGACAGCCGCTCTGTCGGCGGCGCAGAGACGAGCAGAGATCCGGAGGAGAAAACTGCTCATGAATTCAGAGGACAGGATGAACAGAATCGTGGGCTACACTAAAAACGAGTCTGAAAACAACGGTATGCTGTGATAATTTAACCAGTTTACACTACAGTGCTGTTCGTGACGATCGCCTGCTTTATATGCTGCTGTTGTATGAACAGTCAGCACATTGACCTTTGTCCACCATCAGTATCATCATTTCAGTATTCATATTCAGTACAAATGTATGAACAGAAGTATGTGTGGCCACAGCCTGAGATTCAAACCAGCATCTACCCAATGAAACTCTAACACAAGATGGCGCTGCTGTACCTGAAACAGCTGGATTTATAGATTAGGCATGGACAGAAAATTTAATTTATAGTTGATAAACCATAATTTTTAAAGCTAATTTGCAACAGCAAGTTGCAGCTCCAGTTTCTTAAATGTTGTCAGTGTTCATATCTGAGGATTAAAGGCCCTGCACTCATTTATTGTTGCTGATTTGAATCTCCTGTGGTTAATTGACAGCTCACTCACTCTTTGATAAGGATTGGCCAATGTTGCTTTTGTTTATTCGTTTTATTTCATAGTGACAGTATAAGTGCAGAGAGGGGAATGATATGCAACAAAGGAAACCAACAGTTGTTATTCTACCACATAATAGCAATTGTTGGTTTCCTTTGTACAAATGCCTTTTAACCACTGACCCACCATGACACCACCTAAACTTATTTTTTAAGACATTTTACACTTGCACAATGCACCTCTGACACTGTTTCAAAACCACTAAATTATCTTCTCATCTCTGGCATTACTGCGCTGCAATTTCTTGTAACTTATCAAACTAACTTAAATGGCAATACTTAAAAAAAAAGCTTATTTTCCAGGAGCAGAACTTGATTGCATGTAGTGTGTCGGAAAGAAACTTTCTGACATGTTATGGACATATACCACAAGTTTACTAGAGCTGAAAAATTTTGGAAAATAATCTAATTGCGATTTTTTTTTTTTTTTACCAATATTGCGATTGCTATTTAAAATACGATTAATTTAAGCTCTTTACCTTCTGTATTATTCAAAACGGACAAGCAGTAAATCAGTGTATGGTATGACCAACACAATATTAGATTGAACATACACTGTTCTTTCTTGTGGGTCAGGCCTGTGTTATGATGAAATTAGGTGATTCATGAATTGCACGAATTATTATTATGAGCAATGGTGGAGAAGAAGTATCAAATTTTAATAATATGAGAAATATCGTTATAACTTAATATAACTTAGGTTAGCCACACACTCGGTGATGTTATGGTAAGGATAATTGGCTTCGGGGGGCTGTCAAGAGTAACATAGCTAGCTAGCTGGCAGTATCAAGGTCCTAGAAATGCAGTTCCGGTCCTAGGATTGCGGTCCTGAAACTGCAGCCTCCATGACACCGGTACTGCAGCTACATACTACTCGAGTTCCCCCGCAGCCTCCGATGCCGCAGCGCACTGGCTGTAACCAGGCTGTAACCAGGCTGTAACTCGGGACAGACTGGGCCTCTTTCGGACTTTTGAGTTTGGTTTGAAACGCCGTTTCACAGATACAGGTGCTGGTCATATAATTAGAATATCATCAAAAAGTTGATTTATTTCAGTAATTCCATTCAAAAAGTGAAACTTGGATATTCATTCACTACACACAGACTTGATATATTTCAAATGTGTATTTCATTTAATTGTGAACTACTGAAATTCCAAATTCAGTATCTCAGAAAATTTGAATATTATTTAAGACTAATACAAAAAAAGGATTTTTAGAAATGTTGGCCAACTGAAAAGTATGAACATCAAAAGTATGAGCATGTCCAGCACTCAATACTTAGTTGGGGCTCCTTTTGCCTGAATTACTGCAGCAATGCGGCGTGGCATGGAGTCAATCAGTCTGTGGCACTGCTCAGGTGTTATGAGAGCCCAGGTTGCTCTGATAGTGGCCTTCAGCTCTTCTGCATTGTTGGGTCTGGCGTATCGCATCTTCCTCCTCACAATACCCCATAGATTTTCTATAGGGTTAAGGTCAGGCCAGTTTCCTGGCCAATTAAGAACAGGGATACCATGGTCCTTAAACCGGGTACTGGTAGCTTTGGCAGGTGCCAAGTCCTGTTGGAAAATGAAATCTGCATCTTCATAAAGTTGGTCAACAGCAGGAAGCATGAAGTGCTCTAAAACTTCCTGGTAGACGGCTGCGTTGACCTTGGACTTCAGAAAACACAGTGGACCAACACCAGCAGATGACATGGCACCCCAAACCATCACTGACTGTGGAAACTTTACACTGGACTTCAAGCAACGTGGATTCTGTGCCTCTCCTCTTCCTCCAGACTCGGGGACCTTTCATCAGAGAACATAAATTTGGACCACTCGGCAGCAGTCCAGTCCTTTTTGTCTTTAGCCCAGGCGAGACGCTTCTGACGCTGTGTCTTGTTCAAGAGTGGCTTGACACAAGGAATGCGACAGCTGAAACCCATGTCTTGCATACGTCTGTGCGTGGTGGTTCTTGAAGCACTGACTCCAGCTGCAGTCCACTCTTTGTGAATCTCCCCCACATTTTTGAATGGGTTTTGTTTCACAATCCTCTCCAGGGTGCGGTTATTGCTTGTACACTTTTTTTCTACCACATCTTTTCCTTCCCTTCGCCTCTCTATTAATGTGCTTGGACACAGAGCTCTGTGAACAGCCAGCCTCTTTAGCAATGACCTTTTGTGTCTTGCCCTCCTTGTGCAAGGTGTCAATGGTCGACTTTTGGACAGCTGTCAAGTCTTCCCCATGATTGTGTAGCCTACAGAACTAGACTGAGAGACCATTTAAAGGCCTTTGCAGGTGTTTTGAGTTAATTAGCTGATTAGAGTGTGGCACCAGGTGTCTTCAATATTGAACCTTTTCACAATATTCTAATTTTCTGAGATACTGATTTTGGGGTTTTCATTAGTTGTCAGTTACAATCATCAAAATTAAAAGGAATGAACACTTGAAATATATCAGTCTGTGTGGAATGAATGTATACATTATACAAGTTTCACTTTTTGAATGGACTTACTGAAATAAATCAACTTTTTGATGATATTCTAATTATATGACCAGCACCTGTATTTCCTGAGCTGACTGGTGGCTGTGTGTGTGTGACGCAGGCGCCGATCGCCACAATACGCTTACCTTACTACACGTGTCTTTCTGTTGTGCATTTTCCTGTCTGTCAAAGCTGCGGATGGCCTGGTGATTTCACCCACCACCACCACCAAGTTACCCGCGGGTGGCGGGTGCTACTTTCATTTCCTCTGTGACACTAAGGTTTCTGTAATGTTAGCTTCTGTCAAGCTTAAGGCCATTGTACAACAACAAGTCAAGTTACATAATAAAGTGCGAAGTTGATGCTTCCTCTGCAGACTACTTTACTCTTGGGTGTCATGTGACCAGAGTGTAATCGTGCCCTTTGCAATTAGAAAATCTTTATCACATCGCGATAATATCGCAAATGCAATTAATCTTTTAGCCCTACATTGAACTGTTGTGTCATGCTGGTACAGAGGAAGGCAGTGTGCCAGAATCAGATTTTTGGGCAACCCTTTCTGTCAAGTTGGACTGAGGTAGGATTTTGACATTTAAAATGATGTCACTATACAGCAGAGCCTCTTTAGTCCACGGGGCCAGTCACAAAGACGCTTCCTATGTAACTTGCTTGCCATTATACAGTCGTGGTCAAAGTTTTGAAAATGACACAAGTATTGGTTTTCACGAAGTTTGCAGTTTCCGTGTTTGTAGATATTTTTGTCAGATGTTACTATGGTATACTGAACTATAATTACAAGCATTTTATAAGTGTCAAAGGCTTTTATTGACAATTAATTTAAGTTTATGCAAAGAGTCAATATTTGCAGTGTTGACCCTTCTTTTTCAAGAACTCTGCAGTTCACCCTGGCATACTGTCGATTTAACTTCTGGGTCACATCCCAACTGATGGCAGCCAATTCTTGCATAATCAATTCTTGGAGTTTGTCAGAATTTGTAGGTTTTTGTTTGTCCACCTGCCTCATGAGGATTGACCACAAGTTATCAATGGGATTAAGGTCTGAGGAGTTTCCTGGCCATGGACCCAAATTTTGATGTTTTGTTTCCCTAGCCACAAAGTTGTCACTTTTGCCTTATGGCAATGTGCTCCATCATGCTGGAAAAGGCATTGTTCATCACCAAACTGTTTTTAGATGGTTGGGAGAATTTGCTGTTGGAGGATGTTTTGGTACCATTCTTTATTCATGGCTGTGTTCTTAGGCAAAATTGTGAGTGAGTCCACTCCCTTGGCTGACCTTGAAGCAACCCTTCACATCAATGGTCTCAGGATGCACAGGATATAGCGCTCACCTTTCTTCTCCGGATATGTTTTTTGAGATTAAGTTCATTTGTATTGCAAGGAGGGACTTTGCAATTAATTGCAGTTTATCTGATCACTCTTCATAACATTCTGGAATATATGCAAATTGCCATCATAAAAACTGAGGCAGCAGACTTTGTGAAAATGAATATTTGTGTCATTCTCAAAACCTTTGACCATGACTGTACAGTTCATGTTGTTTCTAAACTAGAAGAAAAACATTCTGTACCTGTTTTCAAACGTACGGTTGCAGTTATTAATTTGTCGAATATTTTTAAGATTAATTGTTTAGTCTATAAAATGTCAAAAAATAGTGAAACATTTTCAGAGCCCAATGTGACGTCTTCAACTAGATGTTAGTCTTTTTCTTAGATAAATAACAAGTGCATAAAATCATCATGCATATTATTTCAGCACTAGTTAAATCTGATGTCACTGATATTGTCTTACATCCACAGCTGGAGCATCCCTGCGTCCCACAGAACCCCGCTTCCACCTCGATCTCGACAGAACAGAGCCGTGGTCGTCATCCTCATCTTCCCCGAGACCGTCTCCCTTCCTGCCAGAGGCTTCGGGGTTCGGCAGCCGCTCCCACACCGCCACCCCCGAGAGGAGGGGCTCACCCCTACCAGGCTGTAGTGAGCCACACGGAGTCTCTCTGGAAGATGACATCGGAGGGGTCCGACAGAGACCGAGGGGGGAGCGGGCATCAGACGACCTCAGCGGCTCCCCACGCCGAGGCCTCCAGAAGTACCTGTCCCGTTTTGACGATGCCATGAAACTACGGGGCCAGCTGGCCAATGAGAAGCCGGCCCAGGACGGGGGGTCTGACCCTGAGGAGTTTGATCCTTTCAGAATCTTCAGGCTCATCGGCAGCATCCTCCTCGCCATTTTTGTTAGGGTTTTTGTCTGCAAGTATCTGGTGAGTCTGCTCGCTGTATACCCTATGTGGCTGTAATAACTGAGATTGGCCCGTTGCGCATTTTACATGTTAAAGTGCTGAGAATGTAGACACTAAAATCATCCATTGGCATCTGATAGATCATTCACAAGGTTAGTGAAGTAGGTGATAATTAGCAGTATCCAAGTAAGACAAGTGACCATTCCCAGATACAGTGTTGGTAATGGTTTTGGTGGAATGACAAATTCTTACATATAAAACATATTTAAGCCCCCTTTGCTTCTGTGGCTCATAGTAGTAAGCTTTTAGTTATGGTTTGTCTATATTCTCCTCTACTACCAGGTTAGCTAACCGACAGGCTAGTCGTAAACTTTGTGTAATCCTTAGAAACACACCAGCACCGTGTTTTCACTTCCAGTCTTCATATTATCTGTGTGCACTTACTCAAACTTAACAGTACAGACAGATCATAATTTTTAGTCATTACATGAAAATAAGAGATCCTTTCAGGTGTGAAAAGGGCAAAACAAATGAACGTGTCAAGACATTTTACATGTTTTTTTTTGCATGCATTCATTTTGTAGGATTGTCATATCAGCCCATATTTAATAATAGTACATCTGACTACCAGAAACATGATATTATTGTGATGTGACTCTCGTATTGTTTCACTCTAGTCAATATTTGCTCCATTTCTGACCCTTGAACTGGCCTATATGGGGTTGTCCAAATACTTTCCAAAGGTGAGTTTGCACTAAATATTTTATGATCCCTTCTCTACTGTTATGTTCAGATTCCTATATTTTAGCCAATATTTCCAAGAAGTAAAACTGCTTTAATCGATGTGAAGACACACTTTGGAGTGGGACATTTAAAGCAGAGACATACATGATTTTGAAAAATGTTAAGTAAGGTTTTGTCATAATTATGGTTTGTCAATGTGTTAAACTTTTTATTCTTTATTTATTCTTGGCCAGTTCACAGTTTTGACCAAAGTTGTGTTTCCTGTAGACATGAACCATTGTTATTCCTCTGACGTCCTTGTGCTGTACTTTAGCTGACAGCCCAGTCTTAGTAGCCATGTCACTGCTGGCCACACCTACAGTGAATGTTATTGAAAGTTCATGTAACCTGAAGGGTGACATAGACACACACACACAGCAAAGTTAAAAATGTTGTTTTTAATTATAGAAATTTTTAAGTATTTACATTTGAGTGGCATTTTTTTCAAAAAAGTATTTTGCTGCGATAAAAGGTATATCTCAAAGGCAAATAGTATGGATGAAAGAATTAATTGACAGAGAAATCATCAACAATTTTGATAGCGTCATTGTTTCTGTGTGGCCAAATATGAAGCTAGAAGCAGCCGGTGATTAGCTTAGCTTAGCTTAGCATTAAGACCAGAAGCATGGAGAAATTGCAGTCTGCCTTTGTACAATATTCAAAATACACAAGGCACCTGGATGTGTGTCTTGTCATCACTGTGAGGATCTCAGGCAACCAACAGATAGTCCAGGAATTCCACTAACTCCCTGTAACACCACAACTTGTTATTTTTTATGGCTGTTTTTGAATTTGTTACAAATGAGGTATAACGTGTGGAGTAGTGCGCTTTAGAGGTGCTGGTAGGTGTATTTTTTAACTTTGGACAGAGCCAGGATAGCTCCCGCCCTGCTTCCAGTCTTTGTGCTAAGCTAAGCCAAAACATCAAACAATGACAAGTCATTTAACAAGCAAAAATATGTGTTTTATTCGCTGGCTCCAACTTTTCAGATGTGAAGATTTTTTTTTTTTTACTATTTTATTTTTTATTTTTTATAACAATTGGTTGATTAACTGTAAAACATTTGGGACAAATCAATAATGAGAGAACCATCATTAGTGGCAGCCATGCATCACAGCGTCTTTGCATGATACTCCTGTTCCCCCAGGTAGAGAAGAAGGCCCAGACCACTGTGCTGACCGCTGCCCTGTTGCTGTCTGGCATCCCCGCTGAGGTCATCAACCGCTCCATGGACACCTACAGGAGAATGGGTGACGTCTTTGCCGACCTCTGCGTTTACTTCTTCACCTTCATTCTCTCGCACGAGATCCTGCTGCTCATTGGCTCAGAGACTACCTGATGGACCCGGAGGATGTCAGTAACCCTGCTTCCCCTTACTTGTTGTCCCCTCCCTTTGTCTCCCATAGAAACAAAGCAAGGCCATTTACATCGGCCGACGTGGGTTTGTTGTTGACCGTCTGGAAGCAAATCCTCGCTGCCTTATGATCAGTGTCGAGCTTCAGCTGGATGAGTGCTCATTAATTCAGCGCTTCAGGATTACAATAAGGCTAAGCTACATGTGACCAGACAGTGCAGTGTTTGTTACGTCATTTTTGCTCTGGACTGAACCTGAGAAACAAGGATAGTATGTGTTTGCTTGTGCGAACAATGCACTAAATGTAATGCATTTATCGTACCAAGTTATATTTATTTGTCATATTCAAGAGTGGACAACAGTACAGGTCATCATCAGAAAACTGACATCACATAATTTATTTACATTCTTGATATTGATGCATATCACATTTTTAATAATATGTATGCCAAATCACACAAAATATTCAATGCAAAGAACTGTCTTCCAGTACTATGCGTTACATAAAAAAAGGAGTGTTTTGCTGCCCTCTCTGGTTGAACATTTAAAGTGTGCTGCACCTGTAACCACACCCAGCAGAAATGTCATATTATACTGAGGGTTGCACTTCTACATCACTGCAACAAGGTGAAACGTTAAGCCAATAGAGGGCTACAATAAAATAATTTTCAGCTGCTGTTAAGTTCTTTAAAACTAAAATTGTTTGCTTGGAATCATTAATCTAAAGGGAGATTATCTAATATTTCTTAAACAGCAGCCACTGTGGCCACAAGCAGCAAGTACTGGTTAATGCTAAATGCTCAAATGTACCAACAGTGGCACATGTTAGAGATGAGTCACAAAGTCAGCAAACTTACTCATCAGGATCAGCTAATACGACTGAGTAGAGAAGCTGAACTAGTACGCACCCCTCTGAATATATGTTTGTCAGATTAGTCAGCCCTGCAGTGCGTCAGGCAGGGTTGGGGTCAGTATATACAGTATATTTACATTTCAGTGTATTCAGTGTGGGTCAGTGTAATTACAGTTCATGCCATTCAAAACCTCAATCTAAACTTCACATGACTCTGATAGCCTGCTGGATAAAGGCAAACACTTGCTCAGCACATGAATTAACTGAAATGACTTTGGAGTGAAAATGTTCATTGGGGTTCTTGACTCGTTATGATTGACGGTCAATGACAGAAAGCAGAAAACTGAAGACAGAGTATCAGTAGGATTGACAAGCAGGTGGTTTCCTTTTCATTCATAAATATCATCACCTTGGCTGATTTGTTGCAACATCTGCACCTCAAGCAGTCAGTGACTTGATGAATTAATCTTAGAGATCTGACCTTTTTCTTTCAAATCTGGCCCACTTCTCTGCCATGTATACATCAGCTAGCCAGAAAAGTAGAGCCACAGTTTCACACTGACCATCATGGCTGCATCTTCATGATGATCTAACTGTAGGAGAAACAGCTGTGTGATCCAGAGTGCTGGCTACTAACTTTAAAAATACACACATGCCCCTCCAGCTTTCGGTTAGTAAGAGATTAAAAATGTAGTTTGAGTAGTTAAGAAACTTTAGAAGTTGTTTTTGAATTAAATATGAAAATATTAATTGATGCAGTGTCTCTTAAAATAATGACGATGACTGTAGATTCAGCGCAGTCCAGGAAGGGACGCCGCATTTTACTCAAATTTGCTGGCAGGACCACTAAGTGTAAAGCTGAGTTTCTCTAGCTTTAAATTAAGTCTCTAAACCGTAAAATATAACCGTGAGGCAGTTTATGTGCTTGTGTTGTGGCAGATTTCCTCACATGCTTTTAAATGATATTTTCTGTTGTGATCTGTCATCCAGTGTCCATAAGAACAATGAACAATTGTTCTTCCTTCTTATAAGTTGTGAAGGCAGAAGAAGAAGCATTTAGTCCTTGAACGTGGAGTATATAATTTTGCACGGCTATGAGCTTAAAAAAACGCAGTAAACTTCATCACAGTGTATGTACATAATGAGAAGTGTGGTTGGTGGGAATGTTTTAGGATTTGCTGGAAAGCACTGTCACTGCACATTAATGTGAGGCAGTGGCAGTTTGTACGCTTATTTGTGCTGAGTAATTCTGGTGACGTGTCTTGCTTTGCTTTGTCCATGCCTCATTCATACTTACTTAATATATATACTCTACTTCTGTGCTGTTATGTCCTCTCTCCATACTTCAAATGTCATCCAAATTAATTTATTAGTGTGAATATTTTATTTTTATGTAAATGAATTGGTGTGATTTATCCTATGACTTGTCTGACCTACATGATTGTTTTTGATAAGGTTTACAGAATAACTGTTTTTAATGGCTCTTACAGTATCTTTATTTAGTGTTGACATTGTATAAACAGTTTCTGCTTAAAAACATACACAGGAATGAATAACCAGACAATTCATACCAAATAAATACTACTTGTGTGATGTACTCTGTTTTGACTTTCTTCATTTATTTTATTTATTGGGTTTCGTAATAGGGGCAGTGGACATTAACAAACATTGCTGAAAACCTGCTTTCCTGTGATAGTTTACATGCAAGCTTGAGTTGATGTTTTAACTACTATTAACAAATGAAGAACAATTTAACTAAATTCCAATTCATTATCAAATAATATTCCAGTTAGAAGAGGTTTTAGAGGTGCGGCTGAGTAATAATTCAGTATTATCATTGTTGAAGGGTTTTGTCTGATGAAATGCAGGCCAATGAAATATACAGTATGTAATTTTTCGGACATTTTACGTGTCATTCCTCTTTAACGTCATGATATTAATTTTGATAATACTGTATTGCCCAGCCATATTTACAGGAAGACAGGAGTGTTTCTTTTAACTTTTAGCTCTGGGAATAGTAGGGTTTACAGCTGTTAAAAGCAGTATACAACCGTATATAAACATAATAATTTTCATGATACAATTTTCATCAACAACATAACAAATGTTCAATAAATGTTTGATTTAATTAATTTGAATCACAATTGGTGCTTCATTTTACTAATAAGATAATTATTATTAAAAAGGACTGACACAGATTTTACTTAATTTTACTCATTTGTTGAAATACTTTATCATAATTGTTTTGCACATTCTTCTTCAGATTTGTTAAGAGATCCACTGTCTGGCATCATGTGTCATGTTCTCACCATAAATAAATTTTTAAAACTACAATTAACCATCTGGTTTCTTTAACTTACATTTGAGCACAAAAATCAGCCCGAGCCCTACATTAAACAAAAGAAAACAATACAAATTAACCCAATACCCAATCACAAGTTAAGATTAATTATTAAGTTGGTATATAAATATGACCAAATAGATAAAGTTGTCTTCCCCTATTAATTCTCCAAAATGTTTTAAACATCATTATAAATGTAGCAGAGTGAACAAGTACAACATATTCCTCTGATATTTGATAGAATAAAAACATTGGTACTTATAAATAAAAAGAATATATATACTGTATAAACTGTATACGTCTTATATGAAAATTGTTCCAATTCTGCCAACATCTGCAAGATCCTAAAGAGGTCTGTGTTTCTGATGTGTCTCTCTTCGGTGTCCCTCTCTTCAGTACACCTTTGTGGCCGACCTTCTGACCTCCCACCGCGGGGTGGCGCACTGTGCTGCTCACGTTGCGAGTTTGTGACTTGAACGGTCGCAGTTTTATTACGCGCAGGTTCAAAGTCACAAACAAACGTTCACCGCACAAGAGTCGTCGTTATCTGTGAAGTAATTCGACTTTTGTGGTTTATAAGACATAACTCCGTGGAATAGCGATGGGACGTGAGTCGAGGTATGCCAGAATGATCAGGTCAATTTGGTGTTTTTATCTTCGGTTGAATCTTTTGTGACTAACTCTTGTGACTGCGGCTGTACTCATTTCGATGGCTAATTTCGATTAGCATGCTAGCTGCGACATCCTGTTGTTAATGATAATTAGTCAGTTGTAGATAATCTCATACAGCCGTGGGATATGAATTAAAACGTTTTGTAAATTTAGTGTTAATGCTTTCCATCGACAGTTAGCTAACTGCCAGCTAACATGTGCATTACACGGCTTGGTCCTCAGACACTACAGAAAACGGTCTGCGTCTCGGGGACGGTCAGGGAGCCGATCTAAGAGTCGATCCCCGGACAAACGCTCCAAGAAAGACGACCGAGACCGGAACAGGAGGGAGCGATCACGGAGCCGGGACCGCCGCAGGTCCCGGTCCAGAGACAGAAAACGACCCAGGTGGGTTTTCAATATTATTGTGTTGAAGAGAAGAGTACACCTGTTTATACTTTAAGGAACTATACAGTGGCATTGATAAGTAAACCAGCTGCAAGTGGATTCAGGTCTGTTTGCATTTGCAGCCTTATAGTAAAGGTATATCTATGAAAAGACAGAAGAAGAGAGATGGAGAGAATCCTCTTGCTGCAGCACCATCAGAACTAGATTTAAGGTGTTTGTTGAACATTTGACATAATATTAACATGATCATTTTCAGCTGCTATCATGAGGTTTACTTTTAGATGCATGTCTTGTTCCAGTTAAAATTGTAAAGGCAAAACAAAGAGTATTGGGTCTGTGTTGTGTTTACGATGGGCAAACCGGTTTAACCTAATAACAAATCTCAATAAAACAACTGCAGTGTATTTTGAGGAGGATCTGGGTTTGTATATGCTCCAAAACCCATGGTTTCAATCGCTGTTTGAGATCACTTGAGATAATGAAATGGACCATGTGTGAAATTGTCCTGAGAAGTGAAAGTGGTATATGACGTGTTTGCCTTTGCTGTCCAGGCGCTCAAGGAGCAGAGAAAGGAGAAGGTCCAGAAGCAGAGAGAGGAGGAGGTCTGGCAGCAGGACCCGAGCTCGGAGGTCCCGATCCGGTAGCCCCAGCAAGAGCAAGAGACCAGATGAAAAGTGAGGCTTCTTAAAAATAAAACCAAACATCTCAAAACATAATTTACGGCTCTGGTAACCAAAACCCCTGGAATCATCAAGTATAATGTGTAAACAAATGCATCTTTATGGTGTATCTTTCGTATTTTAGCAGTACAGAGGTTCTTGTATGTCAAAACAGCTTTGCATAGTAGGACCAGATACTTTCTGTACAGTTAACAAAGGCAGCAGAAACAGGTAGTTTGCTCTTCTGTACTAAACAAAAGTGATCTGCTAGATAACATGCTGGCAAATGATTATGATTGGTCGGGTTTCTGTCAGAGGTCTTGCAGGCCTTAAAATCTAAATCTAAAAAGTAGGTTTGTGATCTTAAATAGTCACCATCATTAGAAATGGTAAATTGTTGGACAGAGCTCCCCTAGTTCTGACGGTGATAAGGTGTCGGGGAGGTGGCTTTGGACCTGGTTTGCTGATTCTTTCAAGCACTACAATGTTCTCGGTACCGTTCAATTAACTCATAAGAATAACATGCTACTGTTTTTCTTATTTTCCTCATTGTGATCTTCCATGCAGGTCAAGGAGCAAGGAGAAAGACATAATTGATCCTTTATCTGAAAAGAAAAAGATTAAAGAGGAGAAAGAGGATGAGAAGGTTGAGGATGTAAGTGTTGTGTTTATGTTCCACATATTCGGTTCTTGCTCATCTATAATTGATCACCATATAGTATAGGTCAGGAAAGGGGACTGTTTATGTTTCCTTTGTGTCCATGCAGCAAGACTTTGACCAGAACAAGCTGGAGGAGGAGATGAGGAAGAGGAAGGAACGTGTGGAGAAGTGGAGGGAAGAGCAGAGGAAGAAGGCAATCGAAAACATCGGAGAGCTCAAGAAGGAACTGGAGGAGATGAAACAGGGCAAGAAGTGGAGCTTGGAGGATGACGATGGTGAGGAAGCACTATTACAAATAACCAGCAACACTTTCATTTAAAACCTCCCTGAGTTATCACAATAAAGAAGCTACCAGCCACCAATAAAACCAGTTGTTTTATTGTGGAGAAATCTTGGTATCTAACTCACAAATTCTCTTAACTAAAAATGTCACAAAATATCCCCGTCTCCAGGAATTTAATTGTCAATTAACCATTATTATACTCCATCACAAGTTGATGTGATGTTTTACCATCATTTACTTTTAGTAAAGTATAGAATTTTACTATGTATTCTTTGCTTATTTTAAATAGTAAAAGCATTGTTTGCATTGTGAAACTGCAATCAGTTAGGTATTTGTACTTGATAAGTAAGTTTAATTTTTTTATAATTTAATAAGTAATCATTCCATTCAAGTCAAGTTTTCACTGATTATTTATACTTTTATCAGCAATCCGATCACTTGACAGGTACAAATCTTAGCTTTAGCGCTTCAGAGCTTTATAATTGACTCTTCATTTCAGACGATGACGAGGATGTTTCAGCTCCTTTGGAGGGAGACGATGATGAAGACGGGGAAGAAAAGGGGGAGCAGAACGAGAAGGAGATAAAGGAGGAGAAAAAAGAGGAGGAGGAGAAGGAGACTCCTATGGAGCAGCAGGTAGAAGAGGATGACGTGGATCCCCTTGACGCCTACATGGAGGAGGTGAAACAGGAGGTGAAGAAGTTCAACATGGGAGCCATGAGAGGAAATGATAAGGTGAGCACGAGAGGTAGATTCTGCTTCACTTCAGCTGGAGCCAAGTCTTCTGATGTTTAGCATTGGCTGTTAAAAATGCTTTTTTTATTGTCCAATGTCATTTATCAATGTCAGATTTTCTACTAGTGTTGCAGTACATAAAGTAAATGTAAACCAACTTTATTGGTCACATACAATTAAACACAGCACAATGCATGCGAAATTTGATATCTCCATTTAACCTATCCTAATTAGGAGCCGTGGGCAGCCACTGCACAGTGCCTGTGGAGCAGTCAGGGGTTCAGGGCCTTCCTTGAGGGCACCTTTTGGCAGTGCTCACATGTCATCTTTGTGGGTGCTTTCTTCTTCTGTTTTGTCAAATGCTAATCAAAGTTTTTTCATCTTCAATAGAAAGGATCAATGACCGTAACCAAAGTGGTCACAGTTGTTCAAACCAAGAAGGGAATTCACACTCACAAGAAGAAGGGTGAGCTGATGGAGAATGACCAGGATGCTATGGAAGTGAGTTTTAAAGCCTCATCCCTGTTTTGTTTGTGAAGGTCACATGTTCACCTTCAATATGTACGGCTTTTTTTAATGTACGGAAGTGCTCTTCTTTTTACTTACTCTTCTCTCAGATTTAAATTGTGTACCCATCAAAAAATATTTCAGTTTTCCTGGTGTTTCATGAATGAAATACAGATCCTGATTTAGACTCTCGTCGGACAAAAAGTTTGACAATATCATCATGTTACCCCTGATGGTACACACAGCTAACTATCCCAAATGTAATCTATTTGTTCGACAGTACTCTTCAGAGGAGGAGGAAGTGGATCTGCAGACAGCTCTGACAGGCTTCCAGACCAAACAGAGAAAGGTC